GGCATGCCAAAATGGATAAAAAATAAGCAAGTACGAGTCTGATAAAAAAATGCTAGTCAGATCGCATATTTTCACCGTTGTAATATGCGATTCTGACTAACATTTTTTATCGGACTCGTACTTGCTTATTTTTTGTTTCGTTCCCCGCAGAAACGAAACGGTACGGTATTTGGTTTCGAGCAATATCACAGGAAAGTGACGTCAGAGATCAAAGTTATCCAATCCTTTGCCAGTATTCTTGCTGAAACGTCAATTACATTTAGAATTGTCCAATGAGATGACCGCTCCTAGCATAAGAAGTTTTTTGGAGGCGTGGCGTATGATGGGAAATCTTAGTTAATTATATGTCAACCTAATTTGAAATAGGTTTTGACACAAAACCTGTCTAGACCGTGGGACGCCCACATGTTATTTTTAGACACAGCATGCAATATGATTGACAAGTGTTGTAGATTTTGCTACACAAAATTATATTCTCATGAACATGTCCGCAGAGTGTGCATTTTGCTTATTAATTAAACTTAAAAATTCAAGGTACTTTTATATAATTAAGAGTCCGTTTCTCTATTTAACCGAACAGCAAACAAAGATTCAATTGGTCAGTTCTGTGTACGGCTTGGCTGCCAAGCTTTCTCAAGGTCTCAACATGCTGGACGCGGATATACCAGGGATATACTCTAACGTGCTAACATTCTAACAACAGCAACAATAAAATTCTCAATCGTACCACGAAGAAGGCGATATAGCTCACAGGGTGATGCCCACACCCTATGACTTATTTATTTATCAATATCTCTGTATGAAAATGCTCTGTATATTTTTATTTATCAATATCTCTGTATGAAAATGGTATTAATGCTCTGTATATTATTTAATGCCATACATATTCTCTATACAGTTATATTAAAGCGGTCAGTGCAGAAACGCGCGTGAATACAGTTACATCAAAGCAGTCAGTGGACGAAACACGCGGAAGCGAGGAACGCGCGCGCGAAAAAGATCCCTTATAGAGATATTGATAAATAAATAAGTCATAGTCGGGCACCCTGTGTATAGCTCGGAAAACAACGCCGGTAGGACCTGATTAAAAAGACTTTTGCTGGCGAAGCCAGTTGGCAGAACATCTTGGCTGTCCGCTGTCAACAACAAGCTTTCGAATACATGACTAGTTTGGCTATTCTTTCAGCGTCGTGTGTCCAAAATTCGTCAAAGATTTTGATAAAGACCTTTCAAAATAGTATTTGTTTGATTTATTTTCTGCCATAAAGCATATTAAAAGAAAAGAAATTCGAAGAAATCGATAATGGATTTGTTACGTGCGTTTGACCTTTATATTATTATTGTCCCCTTGAGCCCTTGACCGAGCTATTTTTAAAACTGTTGTTTATGTGAACTTGCAACCAATCAAAATCTTAGGGCCTGAACTTCAGGTTAAATCTACAGGCACGATGATTTATATTTGAAGTATTCAAGCGCCAACAGCGGTATATATATATATTTATTATATAGTTTTCTTTGTTTTTCTTCATTTTAAATACTACTACTGTATTTCTGGACCGCTCGGCCCCTCCAGGTAATGAAAATTTATACTAATACGTGCAAAAATTACCAGAACCCGCCCGCCTCACAAAATGAACCAATTTCATTGCTCGACATATACAAGTGATCTATGGTCACAACCGCTAATTACAGACGTCTGGTATTTCTATAATTATATTGGAACGAAACATTATTTCTTTTTTAAAGAAAATATTTTCTTGTTCTCCATTTGGCATGAAAACATGTCATTCAACAGCTAAACGCCTCATCTTTTCGAATATGAAAAAAATTGTTCATACGCCGAGTAATTCAGGTACAACAGCGCGCTGAAGTTCGATTACCTTTTTTATACACCCTGTAAAGGGCGTTGTGAAAACCCGGAATGCCGGAATATCACGGAATATGGCGGAATATGCCGGAATATGCCGGAATATCACGGAATATGCCGGAATATCACGGAATATGGCGGAATATCACGACATTTTCCCGGAATATACCTGGACATCAAGATATTTTTCGATGGTAGCCATGCGACTGTTTACAAACATAGACGTCTGACAACATATTTTGATTACAAAAGTGATGGATCTTTCCCATTTTGACGGTAAGTAACAAACAATAACTCTATACTGGAAGTTTTATATGCTGTTTATTATTATTATTACTAGTGTTCACCAAAAATTTTGAATCAATGATTTTAAAAATTTTCCTGAATTACAGCGTCTTGAAAAATTAAAGTGCTGACGTCAGCACTATTTTCGAACGCCTTCAAAAATCAGAACTGTGTTATACACAGGCACCTCTATAGACCCGGTGAAGAGTATAAACCTACGATACAATTATGTGTTGACTTGCAAATGAAAGCAAACGCACATTCAAGATCACACCTCATGATTTTGCCCAAAAAGCATCACTGGAAATGTGATTTATCAGGTAGTATTTTATAACTCAAAGAGCACTTTTGCCCCCCCCCCCGTTGCCCCTCCTAGCAAAAGGCAAGAGGGGCAGCTGCCCCTCCTGCCCCCCCCCCCTCAGTAAATCTGTCTTTTCGTCCCATGACTTCTTACCTGATATAAACAAGAATTTAAACATCTTGGCTCAATCTTGCCTTTATTTTAGCATTTGATCTTTGGATAAATGCTTGGTGGTATAAAATTGACCATTACATATGGCCACTAAGCCTTACAGTATCCAAAAATCAAATGCCAAAATAAAGGCAAGTTTGAGCTAAAATGTTTAAATTCTTGTTTATATCAGGTAAGAAGTCTAGTCCCGTCTTAACCTTAACCAAGAATTTTTAACTAAATTTTGTGTATAACCATAGTTAATAGAAGAGATGGTTTGGAAACTCGTTAGAATAACAGTATAACTCATTATCTATGTTAGTGAACGTTTATTCATAAATCTAGTCCTTCACCGTCACGTGCGTATTGTATTTTTGCCCAACTAACCAATAGCAATGTTTAGGAAAGTTGCCTGTCCATGACTCGAACAATATAGGATAAATTGGAAATTGCTATTGGTGGATTTGGCAAAAATACAATACACACGCGACGGTGAAGAAACATATTTATGAATAAACGTTGGCTAACATCGATAATGAGTTATATTGTTATTCTAAGGAGTAATGAGTTTCCAATTCCAAACCATGTATTCTATAACTATGGTATAACACAGTTTTGAAGGAATGAAGGCGTTCGAAAATAATGCTGACGTCAGCACTTTTATTTTTCAAGACGCTGTAACTCAGGAGGAATTTTAAAATCATATTGATTCAAAATTTTTGGTGAACACTAGTAATAATAATAATGAACAACATATAAAACATCCAGTATAGAGTTATTGTTTGTTATTTACCGTCAAAATGGGAAAGATCCATCACTTTTGTAATCAAAATATGTTGTCAGACGTCTATGTTTATAAACAGTCGCATGGCTACCATCGAAAAATATCGTGATGTTCAGGTATATTCCGGGAAAATGTCGTGATATTCTGTGCACGTGATATTCCGCCATACTCCGTGATATTCCGGCATATTCCGTGATATTCCGGCATACTCCGCCATATTCCGTGATATTCCGGCATTCCGGGTTTTCACAACGCCCCCCTGTAAATAAACATGACATTAACGAGGGACCACTCGCGGTCTAGCGAAATATCCGAAATGCAAGCGAACTGATTGCCGAGGGTACCACTTTTAAGTAACTTTCCTTAAATTTAGACTATTCGTTCACCAACATTAACAATGCGAAATTTTAAGGAAATTTAACTGAATCTGAGGAATTGTTTATCGATAACCTAAGGAACTGAGAGAACTTGTTTACCAAATCAATTTCCCGCCTTTTTCCGCCAGATTCGATAAAAGAACTAAAGAACAAAAGTTGATATTTGGTATAGTTTTAGTTTTATTAGCTTCGCCAACAAAAACCGTAGATCAATATACAAATCACCATACAGATCAACATACAGAGCTGTCAATCTCATCTGACTTTGGCTATTAAGGGACCGATTACAAGGAGCATTTTCAACCCCGGGGTTGAACTCAGCCCTGCTAACCGGGTTGAAATTTTTTGCGATTACATGGACGATTTCAACTCCGGGGTTAAAACGTTATACTATACGTTCTGGCGGCATCGATTCGCGGAAGTAAAAAGCCTTTACTTTGTTTTCTTGTAATAAATAGTCACTGCCACGCATGCTCGAATAACTCACGATAATTTCAGCCCTGAGTTGAAACTGCTAGCTGAAGCAGGGTTGAAATTTCATCCCCGGGGTTGAACTCAGCCCTGGGTTGAAACTTTTGTCATGTAATCGCGCGTTTGATTTTGATAGAGTTTTGTATTACAGACAGGGCTAGAGTTTTGTATTACAGACAGGGCTGAAATTTCAACCCGGTAAACAGGGCTGAGTTCAACCCCGGGGTTGCTCCATGTAATCGGCCCCTAACTGTAACGGTTATTAGCGTCGGAAGACAGTGAATGAAACAATAGTCAATACCATTGTTGTTGTTTGTCCTTGATATATTGCACAAATATCGATATCCAAAAAAAGGAAATATCCGTCCAGTATTTTATCGAACTAAAACAGTTGGTATTGCCCATCACTAGCAGTCTCTCGCTCTTTACAAAACAGAACTTGTTGCCGCTTAGCATTCGTCAAAGAGTAGGATAATTCTCCATGCCTTATTTTCTTGTAATAGACGCCAATATCACCAAACTGTTTATCGAAGAGTCGGCCACGCTGGCTAACTGTATTACCAAATACACCCTTTCGATAATTACACATACTTTTTGGTCTTGGAACCTCGCTCTCATTGGTAAATTACACAAAGTGTTAGCGTAATTATTGAAAGGTTGTATTTAATTTGCTAGTAGTAGAACATTTAGCTAGCCTGCGTAACGTGTCTTATGAAACAAAACCATTGGGTAATGGCAATTCCCCGTATTTTCGCATTTTTTTGATCGAGTCCTGGCTCGAGTCCTGACTCGAGTCCTGGCTCGAGTCCTGGCTCGAGTCCTGGCTCGAGTCCTGGCTCGAGTCCTGACTCGAGCAATAGTATATCTCCTGATTGCCATTATCAAACGAGACATAAACGCGTTGCCTGTGAACGTTCGAACAAATAGACCGTTAAATTAAAAACCTCAGTTGCCAATATGAACTGTCTCGTCTCCCTAACGAAGCCGTGTGGTAACGAATGCCTTGAAAAGTTCATAAAGTGAAGCGGCTAATAGGCCTAGGCATAATAGTCCTGTTATAAAACCCGTTGCAAGAAAGACTATACGGCCGTTTGTATCTATTCTCGTTATATTTTCTCGCACCAACAAGAACAATGTAAAAATCAAGCTTTTCCCATAGAACGGCCAAAACATTCTTTCCAAGGAGTAAATCTTTAACTGCTATCTCTTGCTCGCGTTTGACAATCAGTTCGCGTTTCGACTTTCGAGAAGCGTTCAGTTTTACAACAGCTATTAAAGCGAACGCATGCATCATTAAAGTGTTAAATGTATGTTTACATATTAAAGTGTATTCACTTCAATCTCGTACCCACTCAACGATGGCTCTGGGTACGAGATTGGTATTCACTTTTGAGTGACAGCGGCGCAGACTCGCAGCCAATTATCAATTCCCGTCCACTGGTGGACGGGGAATTCGATTACACTGCCAAACCCAGCAGGCGGTATTTCAGACCGCCTGCCATGCAGGCTATTAAACTAGTGAAGTTATCAGCTCCTTTAAAGGTGACATGACACGAAATTTTTTATTGCTCCATCTGAAAGAATCGTCAAAACTGGAAAGCAACTTCTTTTGTACATTTTTGTTTACGTGCTTCCTTGGTGAGATAATTCAGTTTTCTTCCTTGGTGAGATAATGCAGTGCAAACAAATTTACGTCACACTTTGCATAATGAGTTATCGTTAAATATCAGGTTATCACTTTTATAAGTGATTAAATTGTTTGAAAATTCACATGCGTTATGCTCAGTTTAATTAACAAAAGGATTTCTGATGTCATTTGTCAAAACAGAAGAAATTTTAGGGCCTTGGTGGGAAGCAGAACTTGGTGGAGAAAGACGAATGATATTTCTCAGCGAAATGCATCGTCATCAAGAGTTACTTTAGATAATGCATCACTTACAAGATTAAATCGCTACTTTGGCGAACTCTGCCACGATGATAGTTATGTCGAACCGACGCTCTCAATTATTGGTGATGAAGTAGATATTCCTAGCTTTACGGAACAGCAGGTATGGAATGCCTTGAAAAGAATAAAGAGGACAGCAACAGGTCCCGATTATATTCCCTATTGGGTTTGGAATGATCATGCGGAAATTCTAACCGAAGTTATAACTAACGTCTGGAATTTGTCCCTTTCATCACATACTTGGCCAGATTCATGGAAAAGAGCGAATATTAACCCTCTTGCAAAGGTTGATTTACCAAAGGAAGATGGTGACTTTCGTGGAATAAATATTACACCTGTAATTGCGAGGACCTTCGAAAAGCTCGTTTATAATAGTCAGATCAAGTCGACAGTTGAGGAAATTTTATCCCCAACGCAATT